ATCCACAACCGTCTTCTTCGCGACGATGACAAAATATCAGAAAAATCAGAATTCAAGTTGGTCTGAAGTTAAAGACACATACATTCAAAGAGGCCAATATGTACACGAAAAACAGACACATGCACAAAAACTTGCAAATTTTCTTCCCTTGTACCCCGTCATCCACGAACGACTTCTTCGGGACGATGGCAAAATTTGCAAAAATCAGAAATTCAAGTTGAGCTGAAGTCAAAAACAAACACATTCAAAGGCGACTGTATGTATATGAAAGACCCATACATACATGAAACCATGAAAAATACAACATTTTCATTCATAAACGCATGCGCGCTGCAACAACGCAATGTGTTCATTCATAATAACACTGTTCACATGGCTCCGATTACCCGTCTCAACATTTGCTTCCTTGGGACGGTCACAAACTCAAACATGTAAGGAACACTAAATTCGAGTGGAAGCGAGATATTCGGTTGATATTTATATGTTTAAAACATCTCAGTTCTTACTCGAGCTATCGTGTATTAAGACGGAGGAACAGATATTATTAAATCGATTTACCTCACCATTCCATGAAGTTTTTTACATAGTTTATATATTCTTACTTTGATTATTTTAAAACCGTTAGCAGAACAAATCCAATGCACTCTGTTCACATAGTACAGCCGGGTATAAAAAGTCCCGTTACAAAAATTAGCAAATCGTACATATTCCCGAAATGTGAAGCAACAACAATATACATTGGTATGTGGCATACACTAGCATTGCTTCAAATTCTTGCGACTTTGACAAAAATTCAGACTTTGTCCACCGAATTGTAGCAAGTCGGCATCGTGCTGTTAAATTTGCTGTTTGCCTATTAGCTCATATTGGGAAGCAAGTAAATATAAGCAGTCAGCTGGGCAAAATGCAAAAAATCTAGATTTTAGGGATGAAGTGCGAATCCCAAGCTAAGGCCAAAGAGGGAAGTAGAGGCGCGCTCGGAGACATAAAGAAAAAAGACGGATTCCTTCAGGATTTCCATTCTGTCTAGTGTATATATGTATGCTTGCTTTCATATTTTTATGCATGTCTATCGTTTCGAGCGCATATTCAAACGATTTTTGCCAACTCAATCGGCTCATTTTTGTTTTGGTACGGAATTTCGTTTCGCCGTCATAATTGCCCCGCTGTGCTACGAAAATCGCGAGAAATTTGAAGGAAGGTGTAATCTCGCTGTGGCACCTCACTATTCACCTCAGCAAAATTTTTCAAATTGGTTCACAGTTCTTTTCCCTTCTTATTAATATACGTTCTTTGATAATATATGGCAACATAGCTTTGACGTTTGCAAGCAAAGTTGAAATTGTCACGCGGTACGATAAGTTTTGTCTGCCATCACCCTAAATGAGCAAACAAAATACGGTCATTCGCTATTGAACACTGGTCGATCCGTTTATAAACAATCCAAAAATTTACCATGAAAGCCGACAAAGAATTTATTTTAACGATTCAACTATATCCTGAACTCTATAAGGCTTACAAAAGAAGGTTTGATGACGATGAAGAAAATAGATTGACAAATTTATGGACACAATTCGCCAAAGAAAATAACTTGAAGAGTGGTAAGAATAAAATGTTTATTGGTATCTCTAAGAACTAATCTGAACTTGTGTAGGGCTTGCGGCTGAGATGAAATGGCGCCAATTGGTTTCGAAATACATATCCTTCCTGCTATATGGTCTTCCCTTTTCCTACGAACGGGAAATGCAATTTATGCAAATGAATTTACTTGGCCAAGAAAGGTAAAGTTGCCATTTTCAATTAGCTGTTAGTTTTCTTAATTATAATAATAATTAAAAATAGATTGTCCGATGACGCACAGTCAGATTCTGAAATCGACGTAGAGGAATTGAAAAATATATTAAATTCGTATGATGATATTTCAGCTGAAAATGAAATCCAAAGCATTACGGCGAAAGATAATAATGTAGGGTCAAAAAATGATAATGCCAAAAGAAAAAGGCAGAACAGTGATGAATTACACAAAGACCAAAAATGTGAACTGATTATTGCTGAGGAATCCAGTGAAGTGCAAGATAACTCGGGATCTTTAAAATCATATCATAATGATGGAGAAACAAAAAATCTTAATAAGACGAGAAAAAGACATAGTAATGATGAATTAAATAAAGCAAAAAGTAAAAAGAAATCTGAGCTGGTTAATGATGAAGAGTCGAATAAAATCCAAAATAACTCAATGTCATTAAAATGCGGTAGCAATCAAGAAAGCATGCTGCCAAAACAGTGTAAAAAACCAATTGCAATGCCTATAACAGCAGACACTACCACTGATATCAGTACGACACCCAACTTACAAGCTAATACACGCAACATCAATACACCAAGTGGTGATATTAACAACAGTGGAGGTTTCACAAATTTAAGTTCATTAGAGCTTATATTTCTCGGTTATGCTAAAGTCTTACAACGCATGCCATTACGTTTACAGTTACAGATTAAACGAAAAATTGCTGATATTATGGATGAAGCAGAATTACACTTATTCGAAGGAAATAGTTAATTGATTGTGAATTTTAAAAATTTTCTGATTGTTGTAAATAATAAAAAGTGTTAATAAAAGCAGCGTTATTATGGCAGGGACCCATACATCAATTAGCTGTAATCTTTGCTTCTGGGTATGCAATGCCGGTTGGAGTTTTGTGTTTCGAATGTAGGTAGTTTGTGTGAGGCTTTGAGGTACAGCACAGGGACTACTGGAACTCGTGGAACCAAATGCAACATTTATGCATATCAGCGTAGATATTTTTGTTTTTTTATTAATGTGGTTAGCATTGGTCACCTTTTTGGCTGAGTACACCATAGCACCACAGTGTGTGCATTGGTATTACCAATACCAGATCTTGGCACTTGAACACCATTATTCGTTAAAAGATGTTGCTTATCTGGGCAAAAGAAGAAATTCCGCTTATTAATTCGCTGTTGCTTAATGTGGAGAATTTAATTTTTTTAAATTTTATACTTACATTTTTATTAAACAAATACAATAATAAATAGATGCATATGTACGTTTGTATGTATATATATATATTTATTATTTTTTTTTTATATTTTACACAGCGTAATTAATTATATATTGTAGTTTTTAGTTCATATATGTATGTATATGTATATTTAATAGATTTAAATATTATTTAATTTTCTCACAAACACAGTGGTACAATTATGGTGTTATCGTAGCTAATTTTCACACATGTATAATTAATATTTTTTTTTTCTAAAAATTTAAAATATAACACGCAGCACAAAATTACGCATAGTTTTGCTTAATAACTATTTGAGCTAAATATTTGGAAATAATAAAAGTTGCCTATCAGTTAGTTAAATATTTGTATGTATTTAGACTGCTAGCGTTTGTATAGATAAATTTAATTTGTAACATGGACACAGTAATGTTTTTGTTTTTGCATTTTTCATTTAATATACTATGAAAATGACTAGTAAAGTAGGTATTGAATGTATGATAGGTTGTAAATGTTCAAATATTTACTAGGTATGTATGTATATTAATTTTGAGAGTTAGTTTCAAAGAAAAGAAAAGGACATTTTAGTGAATTACAATGGCAAAAAGTACATTTAAGACACAATTACATTATATAACAATTGCTATTTATATTCATAAAATGTTTTATAATGAATTTGTAATAAATTTATATGTGTATTTATGTATATAATATACTAAAAGAAACACCATAGCCATGTATGTATGCATGGAAGTTAATACAATGAGTTGCCATTTCTTAATATTGTTTTACAATTTCCCTTAAAACGTCATTTTTATCATTTTTAAGTGCCCAGCAAACTTTTGAAAGTAAATTCTTTTGTTTTTCTTTTATTCATTTATCTAACCATATTGTTACACATAAGTATTTAAATATAAAATTTGTTCATACAGCACGCTAACAAGTGTTTACCAACAACGTAGGTTGAAATGTTTTTATGGTTAGTCGCTTATTTTTATAATACGTAATTTCAAAAATCAGTGGGATTTTTACCGTGCGGCACGATGTTAAGTATTGAAATCGGAAATTTTCTGATTTTAAATGAAATACATATGCATTTCAACTTTTAGCTACATTCATTTAGTTAGCGCAATACGTCAAGATAAGTTTATTTTCTTATTAACTAATATTTATATGTATGTATGTAGGTATGTAATAGACTAACTAAATTTAATGTATTTTTTAACACTAAATTTACATTTACACGCATTTATGTATATGTATGGTATATGCTTATTGCAGGAATAACATTTTATTTTTCACTTTTTTAATTAATTTATATTATTTATTATTATATAATATATTACATTACATTACAATAAAGTGCGCATTCGTTTTTAAACACCATTTTGTTAACATAGTGCACCAATTCTTCTTCTTTACATTGGTGGCTAATCTAATTTTTACATAGTTATTATGTTAACAAAAATATGTATATATATATATTTATGTATATGCCATAATATTATTTACTTATATTTTTTTTTAATATAATATATGCAAATATTGAAATACGTACATCCATTTCTATATGTATGTACATATATATTATGTTTGTATATATATGCATGTAGGTACATCAAATTTTTTGATTTTGGAACAAAATTTACATTTTGAAACCTTGAAATTTTATCATATATTTTTTTGTTTCTTTCATTCAGCAAAATTTTTGTTTAGGTGGATTTTTGCACTTTTTGTCTAACTTTGAAGAAGAACTTGTACTTGAATTATGTAAAATTATTTATTTTTAATTTTTTTTCTTTAATTTTACAAAAGCTGTTTGTATGTATTACATTATGCAATTAGTGTTGTTTGTGTGTTTGTAAAAGTATAGTCGTTGGTCGAAATGCGAAATATTCGTTTGTTTTGTGACCTTCAATTAAAATAGTTTTTCGTAATTTGGTATAAAACCAAATACAAGGACGTTTATGTATGTATGTACATAATAATAAATACATTCATACAAATATTACTAGAATTGTAAGTATGTTTGTGTGTTTGTTCAAAAATTGGACGCACAAGTTAAATTTTGAGGAACTTTGATTTTGATTTGTGTATTTTATATATACATACATAAATATGTATGTACACTTGTTGCTGTACAATAGAGTTTAGCGGAAGAAGAGGATCTATTATTGGTTTTTTTTTTGAGTTATGCTATTTTATGTGAAAATAAGTTCTTATGCTTTATTTATATATGTGTGTGACATGATATTTTCGAAAAATTATTTATTTGAAAAACATTTCACGGATTTATAGAGATTAAAAATGTGTTTATAGTATATGAAGCCATTTTTTTATGGGCTCAAAAAATTTTAAAATTGAATTCTGGTATTAATTTTAATTTACTTAAGAAATAGACATAAAACTCGCATGGAATTTCGACAAATTTTTGGCAAAAACAGCCATCTTTAGTTTTTATCTATGCTGGTATGTCAATAAAGAGATCTCAAACTAATTCAATCTTTCTCTTCTTATTGATGTAAGATTCCTCAATAGTCATTAGAAAACTGGAAAAAACTCAGTTTGATTGTTAACTGAATTTGTTTAGCTCTCTATAGTCTTTTTCGGCAACTAACAAATGCGTTTGTTGAAGAAACCGACTTTCTTATTTATAATTGGTTTTTAATCCCCGAAGTTGTGGTGTGTGGTTAGAAGGTTGTCTAACAAATGTAGGAGGGAGCCGCTCTTTTTACCTGTTGTTCTTAACGGTGTTAGGTAGCCAAAAAGGGTGAGAGCCTTTGGCAGAGTAACATCCGGTTAAAAAGCGGCTATTCGACTATGAACAACCCAAAGTTATTGGGCGTCATAGTTGTAACAGTATGCACTCCTTCACTCCGCATACGATTGCAATGGCCACACAACTTCACAGCTGCAACAAAATCCTCAAAGCGTTAGTTGACAGCCTCTGGGGAAGACAAAAAAAAAACGTTGCTGGCAACTCACAAAGGGCAATTAGCCGGTTGTTCGTTAACTATGCTTGTTGTTGTTGTTGTTGTAACCGCAAAAATATTCCTCAAAGTAATTTTTGGGGAATATGTCCGGGAGTGACAGTCCTTGGCCGGATAACATATCCGGGCCGTTCCGATATAAAGACCCTACGGTGGCGGGAACTATTGGATTTTAGTCGCCTCTTACGACAGGCTTGCCTTACAGCGGGTAAATTCTTGAACCCCTAACCCGCAGGAGGGGTTAACTATGCTGCTCCGAACTGGATGCAGTGGGCTAACGAGACGTAGATGAAGAAGTTACAAGCCTGTCAAAAGATCGCCCTCATTACCGTAATGGGGAACGTACTGATGTCGCCAGAGCATCACTTGGACAGCGAAGCATTTATGATACTAGTTAAGGACCGTAGGAAGCACACCAATAAAAACTTACTTAAAGTTGAACCACCACCATGGCACATCAGGAATGTAAAGTACTCGACTGCATGCAGAAAACAACCGCTGGATAGGACGAGATACCGACAGACTTTAAAGGCCATTAATCGAGAGTACGTGAACACCTTCCTGAACATTTTTCCAGTGAATGGGATTCTCGGAGTCAAACCACCATCTCTTGCAGACAAAGAGCTCGAGCTGGCCCAACTAAGATCAGGATATTGTATGATAGTAAATTAAATGTCTACCTATCAAGACTTGAATTCAAAACTAACCACCTCTTTTGATGCCCCCTTAAACCAATTTATCGAACCCCCCTTTCTCTCTGGTCCGAACGCGTCAAAACAGCTCGCATCCTGAACCTTTCGTGAGATGACCTCGATGGCATAGACTGATCTAGCCTGCTCCCAAGCGGGATTACCGTACCACTACAACAATAATAAGAACAGCAGAGAACCGCTCCGACATATACAACATAGATTTAACTGAACTTTAATTGCAGCATCTGTCGTGCCGGTCGTTGGACCTTGCACTACTTAAAGCACGAAAGAAAAATGTCCTGCGTTCTATGGGCGCACCTTTCGGGGGATCAAAAAGGGTTGTCTGCAGTACAAAATTTTCCGGCATAAGAGAATTCGTCAAACTATGTTGTTTTCGCCGGATCAATAAACTGGTAATTAAATTATGTATTTGTAGTGTTCTTGATGGGCGAAGGCTCAGAGAAAACAATATCCGCACGGACTGATTTGTAACAGCAAAAATGGGCACCCGCCTCTGTGCAGCAAAGCGCCCGTCAACAATAACAAGGAAGAAAAACTCAAACTGACGTCACCACCGTCCACTAGATGAACCGGACTGACAGAGTAGGTTTTTCTAACATTTAAAGGAGCGCAAATTTGGTGTTGGAATTGTGATCTGAGAAGACTATGCCGTGTTTACTATCGTTCACGCCCAAGCGTTTTCTGATCGACTTCCAATCCGGCTCTCTGATAGCAATCATGCCACACTCCACCGATAATTGATATCCCCGTAAAACTTGGCTGAGGCTGAGTAAACTTCCGCTGAGCAACGCCAAAAGCTCGGTAAGTATCGGTAAATACCTGTTTTGATACAAAACGAGGTTTCAGATAATAGTTCTGTTTTCTACAAATTGAATAAGAAAGCGAGGCAAATGGGTCTGGTCTTGTAAACGTTATCAAATAAACATTCAGCG